AGCACCTTGCAGAGCTGAGCCAGGTCTCAGACCCTGATTCCATGGGCTGCTGAGTTCCTGCAGCATTCCTATTCCCTACATTTATTTTTCCTCCCTCTCCCTTCCTCTTGGCAGTCCTTCCCACGTGTGTGCAGCGTTTCCCACCGCAGGGCAGGGCAGGGGCTGTGTGGCTCCCCTGCCACCAGCTCTGCCCTCTGCCCACCCCGCTCTCCTCATCCCAAAAAGCCCAGCTGGCTGTGCCAAGGCCACCTGCCCCATCCCTGGCTGGTGGCACTTCCCCTGGCTCCTCCAGCACTTCCCAGTGATGCCAGAGATGGTTAAAAACAGGCACTGCCAAGGAGGTTGCAGAAATGCTTGTTAGACCTCAGGGCAGGGGCTGGCACCTCAGAGGGAAGGGGATGACATCCAGGGAAAGCTGGAGAAGGAAAGAGCAATCTGCTGATAAGTCAGCACGTCTGGGAAGCTGGGAACATATTGCACTGAACCCACAACAACACCTTGAGCAGCGGGGTGGTGGCTTCCATCTGGCCTCGTGCTGAGCTCGGGCTCTCTCATCCCTTTCCCCCCTGCATCCAGGGAATCTGAGGCTTTGGGATGGCACAGCCTGGGAAGAGGAGCCTTCCAGGGAGAGCAGGGAGCTGCCACACCTCAGCTCAGCCTCTTGGCTCTCCTTTTGCCCCAGCTCCATCCTCCTCGGTCTGGGAGGTGGGAAGGCACTGGAGCTCTTTGCTTAATTAGTAGTAACAGCTGAAGCTCTTGAGAAACAAAAAGCTCTTCTCTCTTTCTCTCTCTCTCTCTCTCTGCCCCACTTTTCCTTGGGAGCCAGGGCTGGGGAGCAAATTGCTTGGAAGCCAGAAAGCGCCCTGGATCTTGTCACCATGGCTGCACAGACACAGCCTCCTGTTATCTCCAGAGGAACAAAACCCTCCTCCCACCCTCTCCTGTCTCAGCTGGAGCTGATACAAGAAGAAGAAACAAACAAAATAAACAATAATAATAATAAAATACTCCGACCCAAACCAGCAAATAAATACCCAGGGAATGAACCAGCCTCTGTAAAACATCTTAGTTTCTGCAGTGGGTTTTGGGTTGTTGGGGAGATGAAGGACTCCAATGAGGATTTCAGGTTGGAGAGTGCACCTCAGGAATACTGGGATTTACACAGTCACGACTTGGGAGCATCCCAGATGCTGCCATTTGCTGGAGAGTGACAACCTCTAGCTGTCTACACCTAACTGTGTAGCTGTGATTCATGTCTATTTGTGCATGGGTGCACCATCAACATGATTAAACTGGATTTTTTGGTCTTTTTGTTTGGAACCCACAACCATCACACCTGTAAGCTGTGGACAGTTTTGTGCTGGAGTTTTGCCTCTCCTGCCTCTGCAGGGAGAGGCACCAGAGGAAGCAGCGAATGAATCACAGAACAAATCAGGTCATAGAAGCGTGGAATACCCTGAGCTGGAAAGGACCCAAAAGGATCATCAGTCCAGCTCCAGGCCCTGCACAGACACCCCAACAATCCCTCAGAGTGTTGTCCAAACGCTCCTGGAGCTCTGGCAGCCTTGGGAATTAAGCATTCCATGGGGAGCCTGGGCAGTGCCCCACCACCCTCTGGGGAGGAAGAACCTTTTCCCTGAGATCCATCCCAAACCTCCCCTGACAGAACACGGATTTTTGTGCTTTTTTACCCCTTTTTTACCCTGCTTTTGTTATGTGCCCACTTCCAGCCTCACTGCAGTGAGCACAGGGGCTTTGGGAAGTGAAACAAAGTGAAACCCAAACTGGGCCTTTGCCTCTGTGCTGGTTCCCCTGTGCTCTCACAAAAAAACGTGCCAAACAGTACAGCAGCAGAGCAGGGAAAACTAGCAACCATATATTTGTATTTTGAGCGAAATTAGGGCTATTATGGTCGCTCCAGACGGGCTTCCTACAGGAACTGGGTGGATAATTTCACAGGCATCAGAGCTCTGACCATCTGGCGAACGGGAACGTACCTTTTAGCAACATGTCTCGTTTTGGCTCGGTGCCTCCAGGGCCACCTCCCCACAACAGGCACTATTTCAGTGCTTAATCACACTCGCTGTTAAAAAAAGGAGGCCTTATTTTTAGTGCCTGTCGTTCCAATATCCCCCAATATCCCACTGCCTGTGCCCATAGGAACGGGTGTGTTCAAATCAGCCTGGGGATTGTGTAGGACACTGAGGGTCAGGTGAGGGCCCAGAGGGGCTCAAAACTGTCTTGGGTTTCTGAAAAAAAAAAAAAATCATTCATGTGTGAACAAACAAATGGAGGGGAGTAGGAATAACTGATAACTCAGAGTTTAACCTAGTTTTCTCTTTTTGGCACTGGCTGGCACACTCAGTGCTTTGGCTCACCTACTTTTTTACTATCAGTAGTAGGAATGATACTGCTTGTAACTGTAGCATGAAAATTACCACTTTGTAACACAACAAGCATTTTGCTTAAGCATTGTTTTTGTTTATAGCTTTTTTTTTTTTCCTTGCAACTGCCAAAGAATACTGAGTTGAGCTTTCAAAAAGGCTGAATTAAGGGGCTGATTATGAATTTCCACTTTTCCACACCCCGTATTTTCTCCCATCAGCAGTTTTTTGGCCCAGCTGGAGCAAAAGTGTTACCTGTAAAAGTCCAATTTGGGGCACAAAAGACCATTTTTGTGTGAGAGGTTTCTGCCTGAGAGACTTGAAGGGGGTGAAGCCTTGTTTTTAAACTTACCTGCATATGGATTCACCTGGATAAACTCATTTGAACCAGGACAGCAGCTTGCTGGGAAGATCAGGCCTTTGTTGGTAGCTCTGAGCACGCTGTTATTGCTCATTAAACGCTGCTCTCGTGCCCTCCTGCAGCCAGATAAACACGAACATCTGCATTTCCATTTTAATCAAGGCACTATGGATATTAATGGAGCTGGGGTGAGAACTGGGACAGGGCTCCAGTGCTCACAATCCTCCTGGAAAACTCTCCCCAGGGCCTCTGTCTGAAGGCAGACACTGGGATGGCTTTGAGAACCTTCAGTTCAGAGGTAATTTTGAAGGAGTTGTTGGTTTTTCCCCAAACTCAGTGAAATTCTCGTGCAGGATTTCACAGCACACCAGGTGCTCAGGCCAGCAGTGGAGTTTTGGTGAGCATATGAAGGGAAAGAAATTGGAAACCTTGGGAAACGCTGGGGATTGCAACCCAGGTCATGGAATCATGGAATATCCCGAGTGGGAAGGGGCCCAGAAGGATCACCAGTCCTGGCCCTGCACTGGACAACCCCAACAACCCTATATGATCAACAGAACTTTGGGCTAGAGCTCAGGGAGGATGTTATGGGTCAAGACCAGTAGAATCATGGAATCATGGAGTCATTGACGTTGGAAAACAATGCAGAGATCATCAAACCCAGCCATCAACCCAGTACCACCAAACCATGTCCCCACATGCCACATCCACATGCCACATCCATGTCTTTTGAAGGCTTGCAGGGTTGGTGACTCCACCACTGCGCTCAACAGCCTGTTCCAGTGTTTAACAACCATTTCTATGAGGAAATTTTTCCCAATATTCAACCTGATCCTCCCCTGGCACAGCTTGAGGCCGTTCCCTCTCCTCCTGTCCCTTGTTCCCCTGGAGCAGAGCATGAGTCCCCCCGGCTGCCCCCTCCTGTCAGGGAGCTGTGGAGAGGGAGAAGGTCCCCCCTGAGCCTCCTTTTCTCCAGGCTGAGCCCCCTCAGCTCCCTCAGCTTGTCCTGGTGCTCCACCCCTTCCCAGCTCCGTTCCTTTCCCTGGACACACTCCAGCCCCTCAATGTTTCTTGTCCTGAAGGGCCCAAAACTTGTCCCCCCTTTGCCTCATAACCACTTCTGGTTAAAAGCCAGTTCCAAGGGCACAGGGCTGTGGTGTGGCAGAACCAGCTGACGATTCTCTTTCTGCACAGGCAGCATTTGACCTCTCTGTCCCCTTGCTGACCACGTTGCCCCTTTAATGCCTCGGCATCACGTGCTGGCTGAGTGTCTGCCCCCTCTGCTGCCACCACGCACACCCCTCGTCCCCCCGAGCGCCCACAGCTCCCCGGCATCTGTGCCACTTGCTTGGCCTCTTTTCCTTTATGCTGCTCCCCTCCACCGTCGTGTGACTGCTATTGTGTGGTCCCCGCCACACAAAAGGCAGCCTGACCTAATTTAAATCAGCGCTATTGAAGCCCGTTCTTGTTTTATCTCGCAGCACAAGGGCTGCGCTCCCCATTTCAGAGGGAGGCGAAATGAATGCCTAATTGGGGGGCGGGGGGGACGGGTATTGTGCAAGGCAAGCGTTGTCTCCCGGCCCTGATTGTCAGCTCTCCTGCTCCACATAGTGCTCCCAGCTCCCCTCTTGGAACAGGGAGTGGAGGGAGGAAAAGGGGAGAATGGGACTGTGTGGCGAGGCAGGGAAACAAAGCCGAGCGTGGCCGAGGCTGGGGGAGGGCTCCTCGCTCAGAAAGGGCAGATGCTGGTGAGAATAGAAGGAAATATCCATCCTTCACCTCCAAATGAGTCCCCCGGTGTTTTAGGTTTTTTTTTTCCCCTGGGTATTTATGTGACAGTCCTTCCTGGTGCTCTGGGCACTGCCCGTGGGGAGGGGGTGAGGCAGAGGGGGCTCCCAACACTCGCAGCGGGTGGAAGTGCAGGGAGTGGGATGAGGCAGGGGCTTGGAGGGGAGACTGAAGAGCTGCCAGGCTCTTTGTCCTGCGGGCAAAGTTGGAGCAGTCCCTGACAACGGGTCTTTGTCAGGAAAGCAGGAACATCCCCGGGAGCCATTCCAGCTGGTGGGAAGAGGAAGCTTTGTGTGGGCCCCCAAAGGAGCATCCAGAGCCCACGACCCACCTACACACGGTGTGTCCCAAGGGTACCAGAGCCCAGCGCTGCCTGAAGGAGGGACCACCGCGGGGTCTGTGTGGTTTGGGAGGGAACACTCACAGCACTTTGTCTTTCATTGAATTCCTGCCTCTTCCTCCCACAGGTTCCTTCCAAGAGCCTCCTCCCTGGCGCTGTCTGCTCTGCAGCTCCTTTCCCGAGATGAAAGAGGCCCGTGGAAGAAAACGAACCCCAAATTTTAATCTTTCCACGAATGGTCTTGGGGCACTTTACAGCTCCACTTCCTCAAGGGAGGGGACTTTTCCCCCAGCTCTAGATTAGGTTTGTCCCCAGCACTGATGCTCAGTGCTCTCTGCAGCTGCAGGCAGAAAGAATTTCGCTCCAGGATGTTCAACAACAACACGAAGCAAACAAGGCCCAAGACATCAGGTTTGTTGTGGGCTTGGATGTAACATCATAATCCTTGTCACAAGTCAGATCAGAATAAAGCACTGGCAACTCCTGAAGTTAAATGACATGTGACAACCTCCCGTTTGGCCCCAAATAGAGATCAGCTACAAAATTGTAAAATTGAATTGCAAAATTTAGATTTTATTAAGAGCAAGTGTTATTAAAAGTGAGATTCTTCTTGTTTTCATCTGGTTTCATGATTCACTTCTGCCTTCTAAGCTTTTCTCTGCAGCCAGCAGAGCATAAAACACACTTCAACCAAGAAAACAACACAGGGAAAAATAACGCTCATGTTACCAGCTGATTGCAAGGGCCGAGGTCTGACCGAAAAGAGAAGGATGCGTAAATTGTTAACACTGCAGTAAGGTAAAAGAAGAGGAACAAACATATTCCTGGAACCATCTGGGATTGTCAGCTCCTGACTGAGGATGAGGAGGCCCTGGCACAGGTTTTACCAGAGCAGCTGCGGCTGCCCCATCCCTGGAAGTGTCCAAGACATGGTTGGAGCAACCTGGGCTGGTGGAAGGTGTCCCTGCCCATGGCTTTAAGGTCCCTTCCAAATGAAACCATACTGCAATTTTCTGATTCTGTGATGAGAAGAGTCTGGCCCGGTAGAGAAGCTTCATTTGCAGGGAGGGGAAACTTCCCCCAGAGCCAGGAGCCCACCAAGGCCTGTCCTTGGGGGCCGTTCCTCCGTCCCCTGGGCCAGGGGGATCCTCTCCCTCCTGGGCATCTCTCCAGGGAGCTCCACTCCCTGTCGCCACTATTCTACCGACATCTGGTGGCAGCTGCTTTACAGAAAAACAGGCATTTCTTCAGCAGAGCCCTGCGCCCCCTCAGCGGGAACCTCCCCGCGGGGCTGTGCCCTCCGTGAGGGGAGCCCCGAAGCGCTGCCCGGGGACGCGCAGCTCTGCCACCTCCTGAGGCGAGCGGGGCTGTGGGAGCGCTAATGACTCATTAACGCGAATCGCTGGAGTCCCGCGCGGCGCCTCGTCGGTGTTTGGGGAGGGTTTTATTTGAGGTTGCCGTGAGGGACAGCGGCGTCCCCTCAGCCGCTGTGGCGGGAAAGAACGAACATGGGACACCGTCCGAAACCCCTTCATACAGCGGGTTTCCGTAGTGTAGCGGTTATCACGTTCGCCTCACACGCGAAAGGTCCCCGGTTCGATCCCGGGCGGAAACACCTCGTTTTCTTTCCACGGGTGCTATTTTTTAGTTTGGTTTGTTCTGCGGGTGTTTTTACGGTTTGGGTTTTCTGGCTGATTTTTTACCTTTTTTATTTTTTTTCTTTTCCTTCTGATTTATTTATTTATTATTCCCACCAACGGTTGGGGGACCCCACCATGAGCTGTGACAGCACCGTGTGCCCCATCACTGACCAGCGGGGCTCATCACGGGGGGTGAAAAGTCCGCCCCGCGTTCCCGTGGCGTGTCATATCACTTCGGAACGGGTGAGAAACGGGAAAAAAAAAAAATAAAGGGAAATAAAAATAAAGGGGGTTAAAAAGGGAAGTTGCGTTGGCCGGGAATCGAACCCGGGTCAACTGCTTGGAAGGCAGCTATGCTAACCACTATACCACCAACGCTTCACGACAATGGCTCTCCCGGCTTCCCTCATCAACGTTAACCCAGCGGGCCCCAACCATTCTCCGGGAACCACGGGGGAGGGAAGCGCAGCTAGAGATGAGAACAGCTCCACAGTTGCAATAAATCTGACATAGGGGCCCGTCTCCGAGGCTGAGTGGGGAGGAATCTTCCCTCCGTGCTTTTTCCCCCTCCTCTGTCAGCCTTAATTCTCTCTGTGCCCCCCTCACTGTGGAGAACTTCACTCATTGTAACGGGCTGCCCGGAGAGGCGGCGGAGCTTAAGGACCAGACTCAAGCGCCCTGCTCCAGCGGTGTCGGACCGCAGGCTGGATTCGACGACCTCAGAGGTCTTTCCCAACCTCGCTGGGTTCCGTGTCATTCCGTAAATAGTTCCGTCTTCCCCTCCCTTCCCTTCCCTTCCCTTCCCTTCCCTCACGCGCGGAGTTGGTTCCGCCCAGCCCGGGCGCGCTCCCGCCTCCCTCCCTCCCTCCCTCCCTCCCTCCCTCCCTGCCGGGCGCGCTCCCGCCATTTCCGCCGCCGGGTGAAGGGTCGCGCCGTGGCCGCCGCCGCCGCCCCCGCGCCCCCGTTTTTTTTTTGGTGTTTCTTTTTTTCTCTCCCGGGGCTGCCCCGCGCCCGGGACATGGAGCGGCACTGACGGGCCCGCCGCCGCCGCTGCCCCCTCCTTCCTTCCTTCCTCCCTCCCCTGCCCGCCCGCCCTCCCTCCCGCACTGCAGCCGCTCCCTCGGCGCCTCTCTCACCCCCCACAGCCCGCCCGCCACGGGAGGTCTCCACGCCCCGCGGTGAGTGAGGAGGGGCTGAGGGGAAGGTGGTGGTGGTGGTGGGGTGGGGGGTCCCCGCCTCGGTGCGGGCAGGGGGTTATCGCTGTAAGGGGTGTGTGTGGGGGAGGTTGAGGCGGGCAGGGCGGCTTTGCCCCCTTCATGGGCCGCGTCCCCCTCCCCTGCCCTCGGCTGGGGGTGCCTGAGGGGGCGAGGGAGGGGGGGTTTGGTTGTATCCTTCCCTCAGGGGGTGGGGGCGGCCTTGCCTTGCCCCCGGGGAGGAGGTTTTGCTCACTCAGGTACCCCCTTACCCCCACCCGCCCCAAGCCTGGCACTAGTGGGGTGGTTGGCAATTCGCCCCCTCCCCCCTCCCCAAATATCCCACCCAGGGATGGAGTGATGGAATGGGACCCCCTGCCCTTGGAGGGGGTGGGTTTTGTGTGTATATGTGCGTGTCCCTGCCCAGGCAGGTGAGGAGCTTCCAGCTCCTCGTTTTCCACGGGAAAAGAGCCGTCTCAGGGAGTTGGGGAGGGAGCAGGGATGCTCCATCCCCTGTGCTCCTGCTGTCCCGTGTCCCGGCCTCCCTCTGCACCAAGGGCAGAGCTCCCTCCGAGGGAAGGGCTGCAGAGGGACGCCAGAGCTCCAGCCCTCCCCGGAGAAACCCCCAGCTGTTTATCCCCACCCTCGGGCTGCTTTAATTTCTGGAGGAGGAGGAGGTCTCAAAGCTCCCGGACGCGTCTGTGAGGGCTCCTGTAGGTGACTGCGATCCCTGGGCTCTCCCCGGATGCACCGCGGGCCCCTGGGGGTCTCTCTGGCAAACGAGGGTCGTGATTCACGCCGGGTTTCTGATCCCTCCGTGCCTGCCCGGTTCGGTTTCTTCCTCCCCCCGGGTTCAGGGTGTTGTTGCCCCCTTGCTCCCTGAAAGGTGTGAGCTGGGCCGGGCGGGGTGAGGGTTAAGATGTTTCCCCGAATCATTAAAATCGCGGAATAGCCGAGACTGGAAGGACCTCGGGAAGTCTCTGGTCCAACCCCCTGCTCGAGGCAGGGTCAGCTGTGAGATCAGACCAGGTTACTCAGCATTCCTGAGCATCCCTCCCGCTGCCCTTCATGCCTGCATCAAAAACTGCCCTTAAATTACTGGATGCTGCTGCTGCTTCCTCCCTCTCTGTTCTCCTCTGCAGTTTAGGAGTTTCTTTGTGATGCTTTGTCTCTCCTGATCCCCTGTGAGTGCGCTTTTGGTGGAGAAATGGCTCTCTTGGGGACAGAAGGAGCCTCAACAAAGGGCAGTGGCAGGTCTTGAGTGTGTCTGTGATTCAGAGCTGAAGATCTTTGTACCTCACGACAGCGAAGCACCTTTTTTAAGCTCCTGGAAAACAGATTTGTGTGCTGGGCTGGGGCTCCCTGTGGCAGCAGGCTGAGGCAGAGGGAAGCTGCAGTCAGGCCTGGAAGATAAATGTGGTTTTTTATGTCCCAGGTGGGACTGTGACCCTCTGGCTGGCTCCTTATGGTGTGTCCTTTGTTTGACTTTTGCCTCTCAGTGTATGGACCAGACATCTGTTTTCTCAGTTTACTTGCAAGAACGTCAGGATTTTGGGAAGGGAATGACAGAAAGGCTCAGCACTGAGGATTCTTGGATTTTTAAGAAGGATTTTCTAGGAAAGAAAGAGGCACAGCCCCAGAGTTCAGTGAGGCCCATTGTTCAGGTGAAGAAGTCCCTCAGATCCATCAGGGCTGTTCATGTCCAGCATGTGCTGACAGAACAGGTTTGGGCCAAGGGCTGAAGACCAAGGATCGTGCTCAGCTGGCAATGTGACCTATGGAGGGTGCTTTTCTACAGCAGTTATATGAAATTTCCCTTTTCCCTCTTCCTTCCCAGCTTCCTGTCCTGCCCAGCTCTCTGAGTAGTTAATGCAGAAGATAAAGAGGGTTCGTCTGGAAAACGAGACTGCAGGAAGTTGGAGAAGGTACGTGTCCAAGTCCCTCCCAGGGCCTTTATGGTGCTGAGGGACAGAGCAATGATCACCTCTGGAGTGGAGGAGGCTTCTGAAAAACCCCAGCCCTGCCCAGGGAGCTCTGTGTCAGGATCTGTGACTCAGGAAGTGACTCAGGTCAATAAAGTTTCTCCTCGTGCTGATTTCCCACCTGTGCTTGGCTGTTCCCTCCAGACTGACACCTCACCCCAAAGGAGGGCTTGGCTGTCTCGTCCCTCCCACTGGCAGGGCACAAAAGGCGTTATTTTAGAAGACCTCTAAGAGGTGTTTTGGGAGTGGGGAGAAGAATGTTCCTGCAACAACCCCGAATCATCTAAATCCCTCAGCGTAAGGCACAGGGGGTTTCCAGCAAGGTACAAATCTCAGATGTACTGTTGCTGCCTGAGGTGGTTAATAATTGGTGTCTTGATCCAGCTCACCTTTGAATAGTGTATTCCCCAAATTCACCCTGAGACAAGTCACTCCTTTTACTGGTTTACTTACTTGTGTAGTGTTGCCAAATACTGGCTACGTTTTTTCCCAGAGTTTCTTTTTACTCTGTATCGTGTCAGGACCTAAATTTTAGGTGGGTTGTTTTTATTCCTTCCAGTTGAAACCAAATGATCTTTAAGTTCCCTTTCAGTCCCAAACCATTCCATGATTCTGTGATTTTATGAGACTCCACCACACTCCAGCTATGCCAGTGACAATTCCCAACACTTCCACCTCACTTTG